GTACCGACTGTGTGTCTGTCCAGCTCCATCTTGAAGACAACCAGGGGTCTTGAAGACAACCAGGGGTCTTGAAGACAACCAGGGGTCTTGAAGACAACCAGAGGTCTTGAAGACAACTAGGGGTCTTGAAGACAACCAGGGGTCTTGAAGACAACCAGGGGTCTTGAAGACAACCAGAGGTCTTGAAGACAACCAGGGGTCTTGAAGACAACCAGGGGTCTTGAAGACAACCAGAGGTCTTGAAGACAATCAGGGGTCTTGAAGACAACCAGGGGTCTTGAAGACAACCAGGGGTCTTGAAGACAACCAGAGGTCTTGAAGACAACCAGGGGTCTTGAAGACAACCAGAGTTCTTGAAGACAACAAGGGGTCTTGAAGACAACCAGGGGTCTTGAAGACAACCAGGAGTCTTGAAGACAACCAGAGGTCTTGAAGACAACCAGGGGTCTTGAAGACAACCAGGGGTCTTGAAGACAACCAGAGTTCTTGAAGACAACCAGGGGTCTTGAAGACAACCAGAGGTCTTGAAGACAACCAGGGGTCTTGAAGACAACCAGGGGTCTTGAAGACAGCCAGGGGTCTTGAAGACAACCAGAGGTCTTGAAGACAACCAGGGGTCTTGAAGACAACCAGGGGTCTTGAAGACAACCAGAGGTCTTGAAGACAACCAGAGGTCTTGAAGACAACCAGGGGTCTTGAAGACAACCAGGGGTATTGAAGACAACCAGAGGTCTTGAAGACAACCAGAGGTCTTGAAGACAACCAGGGGTCTTGAAGACAACCAGGGGTCTTGAAGACAACCAGGGGTCTTGAAGACAACCAGGGGTCTTGAAGACAACCAGGGGTCTTGAAGACAACCAGGGGTCTTGAAGACAACCAGGGATCTTCAAGACAGCCAGGGGTCTTGAAGACAACCAGGGATCTTCAAGACAGCCAGGGATCTTGAAGACAACCAGGGGTCTTGAAGACAACCAGGGATCTTCAAGACAGCCAGGGGTCTTGAAGACAACCAGGGATCTTCAAGACAGCCAGGGGTCTTGAAGACAAAACCAGGGGTCTTGAAGACAACCAGGGATCTTCAAGACAGCCAGGGGTCTTGAAGACAACCAGGGATCTTCAAGACAACCAGGGATCTTGAAGACAACCAGGGATCTTCAAGACAGCCAGGGGTCTTGAAGACAACCAGGAGTCTTGAAGACAACCAGGGATCTTCAAGACAGCCCGGGGTCTTCAAGACAACCAGGGATCTTCAAGACAACCAGGGATCTTCAAGACAACCAGGGGTCTTGAAGACAACCAGGGGTCTTGAAGACAACCAGGGATCTTCAAGACAACCAGGGATCTTCAAGACAACCAGGGGTCTTGAAGACAACCATGGGTCTTGAAGACAACCAGGGATCTTCAAGACAGCCAGGGGTCTTGAAGACAACCAGGGATCTTCAAGACAACCAGGGATCAAGACAACCAGGGATCTTCAAGACAGCCAGGGGTCTTGAAGACAACCAGGGATCTTCAAGACAACCAGGGATCTTCAAGACAGCCAGGGGTCTTCAAGACAACCAGGGATCTTGAAGACAACCAGGGATCTTCAAGACAGCCAGGGGTCTTCAAGACAACCAGGGATCTTCAAAACAACCAGGGATCTTCAAGACAGCCAGGGGTCTTGAAGACAACCAGGGATCTTCAAGACAACCAGGGATCTTCAAGACAGCCAGGGGTCTTCAAGACAACCAGGGATCTTGAAGACAACCAGGGATCTTCAAGACAACCAGGGGTCTTGAAGACAACCAGGGATCTTCAAGACAACCAGGGATCTTCAAGACAGCCAGGGGTCTTCAAGACAACCAGGGATCTTCAAGACAACCAGGGATCTTCAAGACAGCCAGGGGTCTTCAAGACAACCAGGGATCTTGAAGACAACCAGGGATCTTCAGGACAGCCAGGGGTCTTGAAGACAACCAGGGATCTTCAAGACAACCAGGGGTCTTGAAGACAACCAGGGATCTTCAAGACAACCAGGGATCTTCAAGACAGCCAGGGGTCTTCAAGACAACCAGGGATCTTGAAGACAACCAGGGATCTTCAAGACAGCCAGGGGTCTTCAAGACAACCAGGGGTCTTGAAGACAACCAGGGATCTTCAAGACAGCCAGGGGTCTTCAAGACAACCAGGGATCTTGAAGACAACCAGGGATCTTCAAGACAGCCAGGGGTCTTCAAGACAACCAGGGATCTTCAAGACAGCCAGGGGTCTTCAAGACAACCAGGGATCTTCAAGACAACCAGGGATCTTCAAGACAGCCAGGGGTCTTCAAGACAACCAGGGATCTTGAAGACAACCAGGGATCTTCAAGACAGCCAGGGGTCTTGAAGACAACCAGGGACCTTCAAGACAACCAGGGGTCTTGAAGACAACCAGGGATCTTCAAGACAACCAGGGATCTTCAAGACAGCCAGGGGTCTTCAAGACAACCAGGGATCTTGAAGACAACCAGGGATCTTCAAGACAGCCAGGGGTCTTCAAGACAACCAGGGGTCTTGAAGACAACCAGGGATCTTCAAGACAGCCAGGGGTCTTCAAGACAACCAGGGATCTTGAAGACAACCAGGGATCTTCAAGACAGCCAGGGGTCTTCAAGACAACCAGGGATCTTCAAGACAGCCAGGGGTCTTGAAGACAACCAGGGATCTTCAAGACAACCAGGGATCTTCAAGACAGCCAGGGGTCTTCAAGACAACCAGGGATCTTCAAGACAGCCAGGGATCTTCAAGACAACCAGGGATCTTCAAGACAACCAGGGATCTTCAAGACAACCAGGGATCTTGAAGACAACCAGGGATCTTCAAGACAACCAGGGATCTTCAAGACAACCAGGGATCTTGAAGACAACCAGGGATCTTCAAGACAACCAGGGGTCTTGAAGACAACCAGGGGTCTTGAAGACAACCAGAGGTCTTGAAGACAACGAGGGGTCTTGAAGACAACCAGGGGTCTTGAAGACAACCAGGGGTCTTGAAGACAACCAGGGGTCTTGAAGACAACCAGGGATCTTCAAGACAACCAGGGATCTTGAAGACAACCAGGGATCTTCAAGACAGCCAGGGGTCTTGAAGACAACCAGGGGTCTTGAAGACAACCAGGGGTCTTAAAGACAGCCAGGGGTCTTGAAGACAACCAGGGGTCTTGAAGACAACCAGGGGTCTTGAAGACAACCAGGGGTCTTGAAGACAGCCAGGGGTCTTGAAGACAGCCAGGGGTCTTGAAGACAACCAGGGGTCTTGAAGACAACCAGGGGTCTTGAAGACAACCAGGGATCTTCAAGACAGCCAGGGGTCTTGAAGACAACCAGGGGTCTTGAAGACAACCAGGGGTCTTGAAGACAACCAGGGGTCTTGAAGACAACCAGGGATCTTGAAGACAACCAGGGGTCTTGAAGACAACCAGGGATCTTGAAGACAACCAGGGATCTTGAAGACAACCAGGGATCTTGAAGACAACCAGGGGTCTTGAAGACAACCAGGGGTCTTGAAGACAACCAGGGGTCTTGAAGACAACCAGGTGTTGTCTTCAAGACTCACCATCTACACACCTGACTCACCATCTACACACCTGACTCACCATCTACACACCTGACTCACCATCTACACACCTGACTCACCATCTACACACCTGACTCACCATCTACACACCTGACTCACCATCTACACACCTGACTCACCATCTACACACCTGACTCACGATCTACACACCTGACTCACCATCTACACACCTGACTCACCATCTACACACCTGACTCACCATCTACACACCTGACTCACCATCTACACACCTGACTCACCATCTACACACCTGACGCCACACCTGACCTGCTTCTCCCACCTCAGACATTTTAAGAACAGCTGTTTCTATTACTCACAAGTGAGTGTGTTTACCTGGAGAGAGTTCCGGGGGTCAACGCCCCCGCGGTCCGGTCTGTGATCAGGCCTCATAGTGGATCAGGGTCTGATCAACCTGGCTGTTACTGCTGGCTGCACGCAATCCAACGTACGAGCCACAGCCTGGCTGGTCAGGTACCGACTTTAGGTGCTTGTCCAGTGCCAGCTTGAAGACTGCCAGGGGTCTATTGGTAATCCCCTTTATGTGTGCTGGGAGGCAGTTGAACAGTCTTGGGTCCCTGACACCCGAGTGTTAGTTACCTTACACCTGCTGTCACTGTTAACCTAGCAGTGAGGTGCTGTAAGTGGGAGATAACACCACTTACAGGGGGAGAACGTACAGGTGAATAAAGTAGGAAGGAGAGAGAGAGAAAAATGAAGCCAGGATGCGATTATTTATGAGTTTGAGCCGACACCAGCGTGACGGTGATCACTGGTTGCTAGTTCAAGGTGATCCTTGTGTTCACCTGAGTGTTCACTGGATGTTATCTTGGAGTTATCGTCTCTACTTAACACCAACAGTCATCATCAACATTACAGAGGTACATAATGGGTCCAGGGACTGTACCTCAACATTGCAGAGGTACATAATGGGTCCAGGGACTGTACCTCAACATTACAGAGGTACATAGTGGGCCGCAAAGTTTTGATAGCCGAACAACTCACAAAGGTACCTCCATTCTTATGTTATTTTCTGCTTAATACCGAGGTCTCAGACCTCACGTTCCTCTGGTTAACACCGAGGTCTCAGACCTCACGTTCCTCTGGTTAACACCGAGGTCTCAGACCTCACGTTCCTCTGGTTAACACCGAGGTCTCAGACCTCACGTTCCTCTGGTTAACACCGAGGTCTCAGACCTCACGTTCCTCTGGTTAACACAGTCCTCAGACCTCACATTCCTCTGGTTAACACCGAGGTCTCAGACCTCACGTTCCTCTGGTTAACACCGAGGTCTCAGACCTCACGTTCCTCTGGTTAACACAGGCCTCAGACCTCACATTCCTCTGGTTAACACAGGCCTCAGACCTCACATTCCTCTGGTTAACACCGAGGTCTCAGACGTC